AGGATGATCTCATCTTGGGAGCCTGGAAGGAATGATGACCCAGGCAATACAACACCAAACTGTCTTAAACAAAAGGGATCAATTTGACTTCTCCTTGGCATACCTCTCTAATAGTGGTCAGTAATACTGAGAACAAGACCGGAGATAGACCACTCATTTATACTTTAAGAGAGCTTTAAAAATCTAAGTCAACATATTCAAAGTCTTTCACCCAGAAGAATGGGCCTAACATGCCAGGAACACATTTGCTTTTATCTTCGATAATAGTGCCAATCTTCCAAATCTTTTTTCTGAGAAGTATGAAAAAAATACCCAAAATGGGACACAAAGAAAATAAATTATGCTCACTACACTTAGAGAAAAACTAAAAGAAATATTTTGCTTCCAAAACCAGAATCTATATAAATAAACACAGAAAAGTAATAACTGCTGCCTCCTTTATCACACCTTACATGGTTAGAAAACATAAAAGCAGCAGTTTCTACACTCTTCACCCAGTGGATAGTAAAAAAAGTTGGCAATCACTCTGGCCAGTGTGGTTCAGTTGGTTGGAGCCATTGCCCAATACACCAAAAGGTTTTAGACAGGGTGCATGGATGTTTTCCTTTCTCTCTCTCCTCTCCTCTCTTCTCTCTCTCCTCTCTCTCTCTTCAAAAATAAAAGTTGGCAATCTTATTCTTGCCCATCATAAAAGGCAAGGGTGAGGCCAGGACAATTAAGTAATAAACTGGAACAATGCAAGGGAGAGGACAGAGTTGACTAAATTAGAGCAATTTGTGTAAGCTGTTTAGGTTGGAATGTGCAGGAAAATATGTTGTGCATCAGCTTTCTGATTTTTGTTGTTGCAGGAAAACTAGTACATTAATATCCTCTGCCACCACCACATTCTGGCATTACTTCTATCACATATATGTTCCATCTCCTAGCCTGGATCCTGTAAGTGATAAAGTCCCTCTGGGGAATGGCACAGCTAAGCTTTTCTGGAGCTGTGTGCCTCTTACTGGACGTATGCCCATACTTTCCTCAATTCTTTTGTTCTGCTCTCCTAGTCCACTGTGACTTCCTGAACTTGCATCTACTCTGACAAGATCAGCGCTGAAGTCAGAATGAACTTGTCCCACCCTTACCTCACTGTCCACAGTAAAACCTATCACTAGATTTTTAGAGAGAGAGGAAGGGAGAGAAACAATGATTGGCTACATACCACATGCCGCTCATGGGAATTGAGCCCACAACCTGGGCATGTGCCCTGACTGGGAATCGAATCGGCAATCCTTTGGTAAATGGGATGATGCCCAACCAATTGAGCTACTGTGGCCAGGGCTCCCAAGCTCACTTTACAAGGCCAGCATTAGCCGGATTATAAAACCAGATAAAGACACTACAGAGAAAACTATAGGCCAATATTCCTTATGAATATAGATGCAAAATTTCTCAATAAAATATTAGCAAACTGAATTCAGCAAAAACATTAGACCATGATCAAGTAGGATTTATTCCTGGGATGCAAGATTGATACAATATCCACAAATCAATTAACATGACAGACCACTTAAACAAAAGGAAGGCTAAAAATCATATGATCAGCGATAGCAGGTTTGGCTCAGTGGATAGAGCATCGGCTTGTGACCGAAGGGTCCCATGTTCAACTTCTGTCAAGGGCATGTACCTCGGTTGCAGGCTCCTCCCCAACCCAGGCCCTGGTCATGGTGCGTGCAGGAGGCAACCAATTGATGTGTTTCTTTCACATTGATATTTCTCTCTGTCTTTCCCTATCTCTTCCACTCTCTCTAAAATCAATGGAAAAATTGAGGATTAAAAAAAAATCATATGCTCACAGCAATAGATGTAGGAAAAGTATCTATTGACAAAATCCAGTGCCCATTTATGATAAAAACTCTCAGCAAAGTGGGAATAGAAAGGTACATCTCAACATAGTAATACAGGCCATATATAATAACCTATAGTTAACATCATATTCAACCATCAAAATATTAAAACGTTTCCTTGAAGATCAGGAACCAGACAGGAATGTCCAGTTTCACCACTCTTATTAAGCATGGTACGGGAAGACCTAGCCACAGCAATCAGACAAGAATAATAAATAAAAGTCCTCCAAATTGGAAAGAAAGAAGTAAAACTGTCATTATTGGCAGATGACATGTACTATATAGAGAAAACCTTAACGATTCCACAAAAAAACTACTAGAACTGACCAATGAATTACGTAAAGTAGCAGGATACAAAATAAATATTCAGAAATTAGTTGAATTTTTAAACACTAATAATGAACTATCAGAAAGGGAAACTAAGAAAAACAATTCCATTTACAATTGCACCAATAAAATAAAATACCTGCTAATAAATTTAACCACAGAAGTAAACGACTATACTTGGAAAATTATAAGATACTGAAGAAAATAAATGGAAGTGTTAGCGTCATTAAAATGTCCACACTACCCAAAGCAATCTGCACACTCAATGCAATTCCTTTCAAAATGTCAATAGCCTTTTTCACAGAACTGGAACAAATAATCCAAAATTTATGTAAAACCAAAAGTATGAACAGCCATAGCAATCTTGAGAAAGAACAAAGTTGGAGGTATCACACTATCTGATATCAAATTATACTACAAGGATACAGTACTCAAAACAGCATGGTGCTGGCATAAAAACAGACATATAGATCAATGGAACTGAATAGAGAGCCCAGAAATAAACCCACACCTTTATGATCAATTAATATTTGACAAAGAAGGGAAGAACCTACAATGAGGTAAAGACAGCCTATTCAATAAATAGCATTGAGAAAATTGAACAAATATATGCAAAAAAACCCCCCTGAAACTAGACCACCTTCTAATACTGTATACAAGAATAAACTCCAAATGAAATAAAGACTTAAATGCAAGACTTGAAAGCATAAAACTCCTTAAAGAAAACATAAACAGTTAAATCTCGGACATTTCTCTTAGTAATATTTTCCTGACATATCTCCTTGGGCAAGAAACAACAGGAAAAAAATAAACAAATGGGACTACATCAAACTAAAAAACCTTGCACAGCAAAGGAAACCATCAACAAAACATAAAGAAAGCCTACTGAATGGAAGGAGCTATTTGACAATGATACATCCAACAAGGGGTTTGTATCCAAAACTTATAAAAAACTCAAACACAAAAATCCAATTAAAAATGAGCAGAGAAACTGAATAGACATTTCTCCAAAGAGGAGAGACAGATGGCCAATAGCTATATGAAAAGATGCTCAAGGTCACATGCTAAGTAAAACCATAATGAGATATCCCCTCATACCTGTCAGAATGGCTATTATCAATAAATCAATAAACAAGTGTTAGCAAAGATGTGGAGAAAAGGGAACCTTTGTGCACTGCTGGTGGGAATGCAGACAGGTGCAGCCACTATGAAAAACAGTAAAGAGGTTCCTTAAAAAATAAAAAATGGAACTGTCTTAAGACCCCGCAATTCCACTTCTGGCTGTACAGGGTGGGACAAAAGTAGGTTTACAGTTGTTCATAGTTGTTATGACTACTGAACTGAAAATTAAAAACATTCTTCAGAATTATCACCACTATGGTAGCTGACTGGCACCTTTAGCAATTTCTTAGCTTATTAACACCCACAAAAATTGTTTCCTTCTATTAACGTAATTACTCCCCTTCCCTTTCTCATAAAAACCCCTTGCCTTACTTCCTAATCAAAATATTGTTGTGAAACAGATCTCCACAACTTATTCATCTTGCAAAACTGAAACTACCCATTAAACAACTTCTCATTTCCCCTCCCACCAGCTCCTGGGTATGACCATTCTAACTTTTGTCTCTATGAACTGTAGCACTCTAGGTGCCTCATATAAATGTAATCATACAGTACTTGTCTTTTGGTGATTGGCTTACTTCACTTAGGTTACGGTTCCTTAAAGCTCATCCATATTATAGCATGTGACAGAATTTCTTTTTTAAGGCTGAAGAATACATTATTCCATTTTATGTCTATACTATGTTCTGTTTATCCACTCACCTGTAGATGGACATTTGGGTTACCTCCACCTCTTGACTATTGTGAATTCGTGCTGCAATGAACATGGGCGTGCAAATATCTCTTCAAGATCCTGTTTTCAATTCTTTTGGATATAGACCCAGAAGTAGGATTGCTGGATCATGGAGGCATCTCTTTAGAGTGACAAACATGTTCAAAAATTTGATAGTGGTAATAGTTGCAACAACTCTAGAATATACTTAAAACCACTGAATTGTATACTTTAGGAGGGTGAATCATATGGCATATGAATTATATCTCAATAAAGCTGTTAAAAAATACAACTCTTAAAGGCTGAATCAAGGATATAGTTACTTAAGGATTTTGACTGGACAGTGAATCTAGTTAAATAACCAATAAATTTTGTCACACAGATCATTTTGATCCTTATTTTCCATGACCTGGCTAGATGTTTAGGTGTTTTTGAGACAAAACCTAAATGCTCTTCAACAATGATCATTAGAGAAAGTATGAAAAAGAAACTGCCAGTATGCTTTTAATTCACAATATTAAACCTTTTCGTATTTTATGTCAAAAAGCACTATAAAGAAATAACAAATTGCCCTAGCTGGTTTGGCTCAATGGATAGAGCGTTGACCTGCGGACTGAAGGGTCCCAGGTTCAATTCCAGTCAAGGGCACATGTCTGGGTTGTGAGCTCAATCCCCAGTGTGGGGTGTGCAGACGGCAGCCGATCAATGGTTCACTCTCATCATGATGTTTCTATCTCTCTCTCCCTGTCCCTTCCTCTCTGAAATCAATAAAATATATATTAAAAAAAAGAAGTAACAAATTAATACTAGCTATAGGAATTTTTATTTCATCTGTTCTGTAGATATGCCATTCAGCAAATTTTTAAAAGATTGGGAACCGAGGCAGGATTTTACTCACTTTGACTTCAGACGCACTTTTGAAATGTCACACAATTATTTCACAAAGAAGATGCTCAAAAGACAGAGGGTTTATTTTCCCTTTTTTGGCAATGAAAATTATAAAATTAAAAAGGTTTATGACCAATTCGCTGAATGGGGAAAGAGGTAATAAGTTAAAACACACACACACACACCAAAAAAACCCCAAAGAAATTTTTAGAAAAAAAGTGCATCAAATTCAAATCCTTCTCATCTCTAATTGTTATATACAACTAGAAAAGCTAGCAGGAATCTAGATGACCACTGATGCGAAGAAACTCATTTCATCATCTTTCTTTTCTGCTTCTTCCAGACATTTCCAATTTTGTTAAAACTCAAAGATACAGTTTTAGAAAGACAATAAACAAGGTAATCTCAAAGATTTCTCATGATCTCTTCAGATCAGAACAGAGCAAAGTAAGATAAACCTTACTGGTCTGACTGATCATTTTTAAAACAATAAACTCCACATGGTTCACAGCAAAGAGGCAAGTGTGGAAGTCAACTTTCCATCGTGGTCCCAAGATGGAGACTGAAACGATGGTTCCAATATAATTGCAGAGACTGTTGTTACGTGGGACAGTCTTCCTTTCAGATTATACACTTTAACAGTTTTTCCTGAACAATCTCTCAGAGAATTGATTTTAAGCGAAGGCTGAAATACTAACAGTTGATTTCAGATTCTGAATATACATTTTTCAAAGTCCGTCTGTAGGCAGAAGCAAAATTATGAATGGCAGCTCGAAGAATCAAGGTCCCTCTATCACAGGAATTGATGACTGAATATAGTGCCCGGGTATAAGCTGCAAATAAAGGTTTGAACCGTGATGAATGAAGTCACATTTTAAACAACTCTCCCAACCTCTTTCCTATTACTACTGCTTCTCCACCCAGTCTCATAGGTATTAACTTTACCTATTGAGTAAATATTTATTGAGTACTTACTACATGCCAAACTCACCGTGAGGATAGGAAAGAGAATAGAGAGAATGGACAAAAATAATTGCAGTGCAATAATTCCAATCCAGAGACATACACGAAATGTCACCACATAATGAAGTTTGGAATGAATTAAAACTTCAGAAAAGATTTCCAGAAGTGGACATTTTAGATGGTCTGAAGGTTTAATAAGAGTAAAGGAAAGAAGGCATTCTAGGCAGGGAATCAACGTGTGAGTTTCAAAGGTATAACAAAAAATGTGACATGTATTGGTGTGTAACAATAGCAGATTTGATAAAGCTAGAGAGTCTTGCCTGGGGCCAGAGAGAAAATATACCAAATGTAAAAACCTAGAGATTTGAGAATAGGGGAATGGCATCATCAGATCTGTGGGGTTTTCATTTTTACTGATTTCAGAGAGGAAGGAAGAGGGAAAGAGAAATAGGAACATCAATGATGAGAGAGACTCACAGATAGGCTGCTTCCTGCACGCCCCACACTGGGGATCGAGCCCGCATCCCAGGCATGTGCGAGGAACAGGAATCAAACCCTGACCTCCTGGCTCCTAGGTTGATGCTCAACCACTGGAGCCACCCCAGCCAGGCACCGATCTGTGTTTTTAAATATAACTCACAGAACTGATAAGAAACTCCTATCATACAAATGCACTAGGAATGTATATACTTGCAGTAGTTTCAGTGCGTGCATCAAGCCTACATAGTCAGCACAGTATGTAAACCAATATATTTAAGGGTGGACAGGAAACAGAAACATTAGTGACAATAGAAAGGACTCCATTTTCTCCAGCTGGGATTCCTGATAAAGACAGAGTTTACACTGGTCCTCATTTTCCTCAGGGTTCCCTGGCAGAACTGGCAGTCTAATGTGGATACACATGGTCATAAATCTGCGTTAGATAACATTAAAGTCTTTAGATAACAGGGAATTCAACTAGATAGAGGCCTAACTTAATGGCCATAAAAGGCAAACTAACATTCTTCATTTACAGAAGAACCTGGAACCTACAGTAGAGTAAGCTGGAACCATTTCCCCAGCATAAATGGAGAAAGGATGATAACAGATCTCAAAGAGAAATAGAACTCACTATCACCAGTTTTTATTGCCTCGGAGTGGTTTTGTAAAGGGGTTGTAACAGCCTCTGATATATAGTAAGCACTCAATAAATGCTAAATTACTACAATCACTACTTTTTAAAAAAGTGCCACCAGGCCCTAACCGTTCCTTTAAGAAACTTACCTCTGTGGTTTTTATAGAAAATACAATTGTTGGCACAGGTATTAGGATGAGCATCCCAAAAATCAGGACCGCAGCCGCAGAGTGGAGGTAAAGTAATATTATACAGCCGCATTTTCTCTTGGATCTGGACCCTTAAAGCTTCTAGATACCTATAGAAACACAGTATGATCAGTGAACCACTAGAAAGAGAATGAGCATGAGTCCCCATTTTACTACCAGCTTTAACTGTGAAAACTATTCTGCACCTCTGTGCTCGACGCTTCCTCTTTGTATGAGAAATAGGAATACGTAGTGCTATTCCCAAGAGGTACTTGGTGAAGTTGTATGAAAAGACACAGGCAACTCTGGTAAGGACAAGAACACTGACCTCCCAAAGTCTCTTCTAGACCCAGAATTCCATGAGAGGATTCTGAAAGTACCTTTGACATTCCCTTTCTCTTCGTTGCTGTTTTTCTCTGGCTTCTTTCGTTTCCTCGAGCTGTAGCTGCGCTAACATCTCACTCATCTTCTCCCCTGAACATGGCTCTTCATGAAAGTTCATTCTTAATATCCTCTGCTCTTCAGCATAACGTTGCTGCTCTTTCTTTCTCTTAATTCTGAGAATAAAATCATAACATGGTTAGGAATTTTATAAAATCGTTATTTAGAATTAGCTTCTAGGTCCAAATAACTCAGGAAATTCCCAGAATTAAGGGAGTCAGAAAATGAGTTTAACACCCTAAAACAGCTTCCAAAACTCCTGCTGGCTCATCTGAGCTTTCCCTACAGCTCATGTATATAGAGAGAGCCTCTCAGATGGAAATGAGAGGTTACTATCAAGAATCCTATATAATAAAGGGCTAATATGCAAATTGTTCTCACAACCAGGAGTTCAACTGGGAGTTGGACCAGGGGGCAGGGCTGGCAGGCCAGCCACCCACAGCCCCTCCCCTCGGCTGCCTGGTCCGATGGGCTCCGATTGGGGTGGGCCAGCCGGACCCCACCCGTGCATGAATTCGTTCACCAGGCCTCTGGTTTGTCTATAAGAATCCAAGTACAAGAGCTTTCTCAGATTAAAACTACAAGTAGACAGGACTTGTTTTTGGCAAAAATGGAGTAACAGGGTCCAGAAACCAGGCCTGCCCTGCCACCCTACACAACCAAATCTATAATAATAAAAGCGTAATAGGCTAATTAGACCGGATGTCCTTCTGGACGACCTTCCAGATGAAGCTGGGGCTGCGAGGGCCAAGGTGGTGGCGGGTGGGGGCTGAGGCGGCTGCCGTGGCAGGTGGGGGCTGAGGCAGAGAAGGTGGCCTCCGTGGTGGCGGGGGCCGAGCCCCTTGCACCAATTTCGTGCATCAGACTTCTGGTATATAAATAAACAAACAAACCAAACAACCAGACAAAATACAAAAAACGATTGTTTTAAAAATTCTGGACATCAGACAATGAAAGACAATGATCCTTGACAGATGAGATGAGCCCTGTAACTGCCCAAGCTTACTGACTGCAAAGTTTCCAGGCAGCAGTACAGGGCAAAGCAGTTGAGGTAGAATGTAGTGGATTCCCTGAGCTGAGGAGATGAAGGTCAAAGTCCAGGGATACAAAGGCAACCAGAGTTCATAGGACAGAATAGCAGAGAGGAGAGAGCTGCTCAGAGAGAGGACTCAGAGATTTACAGAGGGGCTCCTTCTAACACCCAGCAGACTACTGTGCATGCATGCGAGGAAAGGGCCTGAGGTGAGAGACAGAGCCATCTAAAGGGTGTCAGGGAACAGTGCCTCGTGCTCACACAGAGCAGGGAACAGTGCCTGTTCCGCTAGTCACACTTAAAAACCTCATCATGCACAGGCACTGGGTGGTTTTCAGGAAGATCTATGTCAGTTGAGGGGAATAATAATTAGTCCTAGACCAGCCGTGGGCAAACTACGGCCCACGGGCCGGATCTGGCCCGTTTGAAATGAATAAAACTAAAAAAAAAAAAAAGACCGTACCCTTTTATGTAATGATGTTTACTTTGAATTTATATTAGTTCACACAAACACTCCATCCATGCTTTTGTTCCGGCCCTCTGGTCCAGTTTAAGAACCCATTGTGGCCCTCGAGTCAAAAAGTTTGCCCACCCCTGTCCTAGACCAAGTACTGCTCCAAACACACCTAACAAACTGTAAAAACAAAGCCCCAAAGTAACTTAACTGCATCTGAAAACAAAGCTCAGGAAAATTCATATGAATATAAAGATATCCAGCAACCAACAAAGTAAAATTCATAATGATGGACATCTAATCAAAGATTACCCGGCATGCAAAAAAGAAGGCAATCACAACTCATAATGAAGAGAATAATCAAGCAATCAAAACCAATGCAAAACTAAGTTATTAGAATTAGCACATAAGAACATTAAAACAGTTATTACATCTATATTCTATATATTCAAAAGTTAAGATATTGAAAAAAATGAAATCAAACATCTCAATAAAACTACACCTTTTGAGATGAAAATACACTGAAGCCTGGCCAGTGTGGCTCAACTGGTTGAGCGTCATCCCATAAACCAGGTGGTCACCAGTTCGATTCCTAGTCAGGGCACGTACCCGGGTTGTGGGCTCAATCTCCAGGAGGGGGTATGCAGGAGGCAGCTGATCAATGTTTCTCTCTCTCTCCCTTTCTCTTTCTCTCTCTGAAATCAATAAAAACATTTTTTTCTTAATGAAAAGACACGCCACAGACTGGGAGAAAATTTTTGCAAAGCATATATTGGATAACGGACTTACATCCAAATTAATTTAAAAGCTCTTAAAACTCAACAATAAGACAAAAACTAACTTAAAAATTTGGATTTGAACAGAAATTTCAACAAAAAACAATATACAATTGAAAAGATGCTCAAGAACTTTAGTCATTCGGGAAATGCAAACTAAGCCATAATAAGATACCACTACACACCTATATACAAATAGCTAAAATAAAAATGACTGACCATATGAAGTCTTGGTGAAGATGTAAGGAAACTTGAATTCTCTTACACTGCTGGTGGTAATATAAAATGGTATAACCACTTTGAAAAACAGTTTGACAGTTTCTTTAAAAAAGTGAAATTTATACCTATCATATGATCAGACTTTCCACTCCCAGGTATTTGCCAAAGAGAAAAGGTAACATATTTTGAAAGACTTGTCAACATGACTGTTTATTTGTAATAGCAAAAAACTGGAAACAACTCAAATGTCCATCAACCCATGAATGAATAAACAAATTGTGGTATCCATACAATGGAATACTATTCAATAGCAAAAGGGAATGAATTCTTTATACACATAATAAGGATGAATCTCAAAATAATAATGTGGAATAATTGGAGCTGGCCACAAGAATGTGTGTGTGTGTATGTGTGTACTGAAGGCTGGGTGCACGAAATTCGTGCACGGGTAAGGTCCCTAGGCCTGCCCAGTGATCAGGGCAGATCGGGGCCTTCCTGTCCTGGCTGCTGGCCGGGGACTTCCTTCATTCTGTGCCACCTCCTGGTGGTCTGCACACGTCATAATGAGCCATCCCAGTTTCCCAGTCGAACTCCTGAGGGGACACTTTGCATATTAGCCTTTTATACACACACACACTCTATGATTCTAGAAAATGCAAACTAATCTATAGTGACCTAAAGCAAACCAGTAGTCCAGGGGAGGAGGGATCAGGGAGGGGCCGGAAAGAGGGGCTATCATGGGCATAAGGAAACTTTTGAGGATGAAGGATATTTTCACTATCTTGATTATGGTAGTGGTTTCATGTATATATATGTCAAAACATCTAAGTTTATACTTTAAATACGTGCAGTTTCTTCAATATCATTTATACTTATTTTTTAAATCACCTAGAAGTAGAGAGGAAATGAGTAGCTCATTGATTCATAAGAAACCTAAGTAAAGAGCTTTTGTTAAGAAATAGGACTAACTCAGGACTAGAACTTATAAACATATGCTGATAATTTTAGTTTCTAAAAATTACTTTGAAACAAATGAGTTACTATTTTCTGAACAGCAGTATGAAATCAATTCACACTCTTAATAAGTCATTGACTACTGAAAATTTTGAGCTATCCATTAATAGCAGGCTAATTACTCCAGGGGAATTCAGGTGTTCCTTTTGTTAGATTAAGAAGTAAAGACATATAAGGCAGTGACCTAGGAATGTGAGAAAGGTGATGTGGGAGAAAGATCAAAACAGGCACATGCTCATTCACAACTGACTTGAAAATATATGTTGCCTTGCTCTCTAAAAGAGTACTAAAGTTAAAAGGTCACAGGGGCTCTTGGCTCGGGATCTACTTACACAGAGATTTTATTCCAAAGACAGTCAGTAAAGAAAAGTATTTTGAGGAAGTTCATATTTGCTTAGTTCAATAACTACTTACCTTGTGAAAAAGGGAAATAAAAAAAATATTTTTCTGTAGATAATTAATGAAATTGAGGCTTTCATTGGTGAAATTTATTTTTTTTATTTATTTTTATTTTTTTATATTTTATTGAGTTTTTACAGAGAGGAAGGGAGAGGGATAGAGAGCCAGAAACATCAATGAGAGAGAAACATCGATCAGCTGCCTCCTGCACGCCTCCTACTGGGGATGTGCCCGCAACCAAGGTACATGCCCTTGACCAGAATCGAACTCAGGACCCTTGAGTCCACAGGCCGACGCTCTATCCACTGAGCCAAACCGGTTCTGGCCATTGGTGAAATTTAAATAGAACCAAGTGAATGACAACAGGAAAGCTAAGTCACTTATAATTCCCTATACCAGTTATTCCTTATACCACTAAACTAAGAGTTAAGGAAGCAGATCAGCATTGTTTTTCAAATACTGGCACCTTAGGTCTTAATAACAGGCAGTTACTATAAATGATGGAATCAGCCTCTCCCCTTCTCCCTGTCTTTATTTCCTGATGTCCTCACCCACTCCAATATGGCTCCAAACAGCTCTCTCTAAGGTCAATTTAATCTATCTAGCACAGCAATTTTCAACCTTTTTCATCTTATGGCACACATAAACTAATTACTAAAATTCTGAGGCACACCAAGAAACATGTTTTTTGCCAATCTGACAAAAAAATAGGTATAATTTTGATTCATTCACACTGGATGGCTATTGTTGTATCGGCTGTTGTCAGTTACCATCCACTACCACCTGTAACTCATAAAGCTGCAGCGCCATCATAGACTATTCCCCCGAGATTCAAACCTATTTAACTACCTGCCAATTTGACATTTCAATGGTATTTTTCTGGGAAAAGAATCCACAGCTTTGGTCAGATTCTCAGGTTTAAGAACTACTGCCATGCAGTAGTTTCAAAAGGATCATAAAATAAAAAATGACAAAGATGCCCTGCTCAGTGGTCAGAGTGTTGGCCCACAGACCAAAGGGTCTTGGGTTTGATTCCAGGTCAAGAGCAGGGACCTGGGTTGCAGTTCAATCCCCAGACCCGGTCAGGGTGTGTGTAGGAGGCAACAATCGATATATCTCTCTCATGACAATGTTTCTCTTTCTCTCTCTGCATGCCCCCCACTTCTCCGCCCTACCTTCCACTTCACTTGAAAATCAATGGAAAAATATCCTCAGGTGAGG